CCCCCCGAGTTCCATGCAGCCCCCAGCGGGCCCCCCCCCCCAAAAAAAAACTCTCTGGGCCACGTGGAGAACTCCCCCACGCCCCGCCCCCCTCGCGGGGGAGGAGGCCTCTAGGGCCCCCCCGGGCCACCCACCCTTTCACCACGAAGAAGGGGTCCTCCATGGACATGTCCGTCCACCCGCCGCGCCGGGCCTCTCCTCTCGAAGAGCGACGAGGCCCCCCTCGACACGGCCGGGCCGCCCGTTCCCCTTCGGCGGCGGCTCCTCCTCCTCCTCGCGCCTCCGTCCCCCTCACCCACTCCCTCACGGGCGGCCGGAGCAGGAACAGGACGATTTCCGCCGCCCACCGAGCTCCGTCCTCTTCGGCCTCAGGCACCCCTCTCACGTGACAGGGCACGCCGGGATCCCCATTGGAAGGGAAATCGCACGCGCTGACGTCACGCCGGAAAGGAGCCGGCACCGCCTCCGGCCTTTTTTTTGAGGGGGTGGAGGCCACGCCTCCTTAGACGGGAGGGGGCGGGGCCTCTCAGGCTCTGCCATCGATGCGATGCTCAGCTCTGATGCAGGGTCGTGCGGAGCCTGTGCGTGTTAAACTGGAGCAAAGGTTGAGTCCAATGTTCCCTCTAAGCTGTGGAGTTTTGTGAGCCAAAATTCAACTTTGTGAGCTACTGGCATTAAAGTTGTGAGCAAGCAACTTGGCTACTGCATGAATCAGTTTGAGCCCTCCTTCCTGGGCTAAGACCAAAATGTGTGAGCCGGAGGCTAAAAAACTGTGAGCTAGCTCACACCAACTCAGCTTAGAGGGAACACTGGTTGAGCCCCGGGGGTTGGGGTGGCACCTTTCAGATCAACAAAGTTTTTATTCCAAGGGTGAGCTTTCGTGTGCGAAGCACACTTCTTCTGATGTGGAGGAGGAGGAGGAGGAGATTGGATTTATACCCCGCCCTTCACTCGGAGTCTCAGAGCGGCTTACAAACTCCTTTCCCTTCCCCTCCCCACAACAGACACCCTGTGAGGTGGGTGGGGCTGAGAGAGCTCTGACACAAACTGCTCTTTTTCAAGGACAGCTGTGCCAGAGCTTGTGACTGACCCAAGGTCACATCAGCAGCTGCATGTGGAGGAGTGGGGAATCAAACCCGGTTCTCCCAGATTAGAGTCCGCGCACTTAACCACTACACCAAACTGGCTACCAAACTGTAGGAAGGAAATCTCATCAAGGGTTATTTACAGGGGAAAATGGGGTCGTCAGCAATGCTCCCTCTCAGCTGTGGAGTCTTGTGAGCAAAAGTTCTCCTTTGTGAGCTCCTGGCATTAAAGTTGGGAGCACGCGATTTGGCTGCTGCATAAATCAGTTCTTTCTGTAGCCCTCCTTCCTGAGCTAAGACTAAAATGTGTGAGCCGGAGGCTAAAAAACTGTGAGCCAGCTCACACTGACTCAGCTTGGAGGGAACACTGGTTGTCAGGTCTGGGTTGGAAAATACCTGGAGACTTTCGGGGTGGGGTCCAGGATAGGGCAGGGCTTGGGGAGGGGGGGGATCCTCAGCAGGGTACAAGGCCACAGAGTCCACCCTTCAAAGCAGCCATTTTCTCCAGGGGAGCTGATCTCTGTCAGTTGGAGATCAGTTGCAAAAGCAGGAGGTCTCCAGGCCCCACCTGGAGGCTGGCAACCCTAGGAAAGAGAGGGGGCAGCTGTTAGGAGGGGCCACTCAGAGAGCCCAGAGGCACGTGCAGAGCTGAAATTGGATTCGGTGGCTGGTGAGATCAATGGAGAGCAGCAAATTAGCACGTAAAGGCAAGAGTTAAGGAAACAAAAAGACGTGAGAATGAAGCTAGAGTCCAGCAGTACCCCCAAGACAAGACAAGCTCAGCCCTGCGTACATGGGTAGACCAGGGGTTGTGATTCTGAATATGTATATGGGAAAGCTTGTGGTGGTGTATGTGGGCATGCTTGTGGATTCTGCTCTAAAGAGCAAGCATTGCAAGGCCGTGATTGGCCAGCTTCCTCCTCCTGCACTGTAAACTCAGTGTCAAAACACGTGCTTTCCAAGCAGGAAGCCGAATGAAGACTCCATAGCCTGAAGCAGTGTACCTGGGAACATCAATTGTTGTTGGCTAGCAGGGGGAGATAAACAGTAACAGGGGAAGGTTCCAGACGGATGGGACCTCCCAAATCCAATCCCTGGCATCTTCAAGTAAAAAGGTAGGTAGGAGGGGATGGGAGCCTAGGACCCTGGAAGAGCTGCCGCCAGGCTAAGCAGGCAGTCCTGACTGCGATGGACGAATTGTGCCTGTGACTGAAGGAACTGCCATAGTTACAAGGGTAGCTTCGAGACAGATGTGTCTCTGTGTTGCTGCAAAAATAAGCAGAAGTCTTATGAGACTTTACAGGCTCTGTGTGTGAAGTGCCCTCGAGTCACAGCCCACTTAGGGTGATGACCCTGTAGGGTTTCCAAGGCGAGAGAGGAGCAGAGTTGGTTTGCCGTTGGCTCCCTTGGCATAGCCATCCTGGACTACCTCGACGGTCTCCCATCCAAGTACTAACCAGGGTTGATCCTGTGTGGGTTCTGGGATCCGATGAGATCGGGCTTGCCTGACCCATCCAGGTCAGACATTGCAGACTAATAAGATTTTATTCCAGCATCAGCTTTCATGGACTGTGTCGTGTACAAGGAAAGTTAGTGGTCTGCTGCAACCGGAAATGGGGAGGGGGGGCACTGGGAGTCAGGAGCAAGCCCAAGCAAGCTGGGGCAGCTCTGCCAGGCCAGCACTTGCAGGTGCTTCCTGGCTGAAACCCTCAGTGTCAACTAATTGCCATCAATTCACTAGTTGCCTCCTGCCTTGTAGCCAGCTGGTAGTGCAGCAGGAAGCAACGGGTAAGGTGGTGCTGCTGGCTGGGTCTCAGCTGAATGGTCCCTCACAGGGCTGGCTTGTAGTGCTGCAGGGGCTTCTCAGCTTGGCTTTCTCCTGGGCCAGTCTACCTTTGACTCGATTCTGCTTCTTCAAATGCAGTGAGCACATCCTCACCAAGCAGTCCATTTTGTGTAGGAGCCAGTCTTTCGGTGACAATGTGGCAAATTAAGTTCCATGTGGGTAAGTGCAAGGTGATGCACATTGGGACAACAAAAAAACCCCCACCACATATAGGCGAATGGAGTCTGAACTTGCTGAAACCAAGAGGAAAAATGGTCTTGGGGTTGTAGTGGATAGCTCCATGAATGTGTCATACCAGTGTGCTGCAGCAGCGAAAAAGGCAAACGATGTTAGGGGTTATTAGGGAAGGGGTTATTATGTATTAGGACTGAACCATTCCAGGTATGTCACACCAGAGACTGGCTGAGCTTGGAGCACAAGAACAATAGCCTACCAGGACTCTGGAAGTAACCAGTCAAGTAGTAATGTTATGTAAATAGCCTGTCACTGGGAGTGGGGTGTGTTTGGGTGTGGCAATTGCATGCTATTTAAAAGAGCTGTGACTCTGGGGTCTTGTCTTGCCCTTGCTGAAATCACAAATAAAGTTGAGCTGATCACTGGACTCAAGTGTCAGCTAAGGCTGCCATGGTATGGAATGTGTGGGTTGCTCTCCTTGTCTCCCTCCTCCCTTTCTCCCTTCGGCTGCCCAGTTATCTGTCCAGTGGCCTTGATGGTTTTACTCTGCCTGCTCCTAGCTTCCTGCTAGGAATGTAACCGTTGCTTTTCACCCGTGTCTTCAGGTGCTTGCGCATTGTATCAGGGGGTCATGTATGAAGGGGGTATATCTGAAGGTCAAATCATTAGCCTGCCATTCCTGACACACGTGTTCACGGTGTCCCGAGTACTAGCTTTCAATAAACTGAAACTTCTGAAGGAACGTTGTGGGGTGTCTTGACTGGGAAGCCTGACATCGAGCCTGCTCATGCATGGAACCTGCTATTTAACAGGGATTGAGAATAAAACAGCCGATAATGTAATGCCCCCATATAGCTGTATGGTGCAGCCTCATTTGGAATACTGTGTACAGTTCTGGTCACTGTATCTCCAAAAGGACACTGCAGAGCTTTGGGGAAAGTGCAGAGGAGGGCAACCAAAATGATTAGGGGGGGGTTGGGGCACCTTCCCCATGAGGAAAAGCTGAAGAGTCTCTGGGACTTCTCAGTTTAGAAAAAAGAAGACTAAGGGGGTACATGATAGAGGTTTATAAAATTATGCATGGAGTGGAGACGGTTGACAAAGGGACATTTTTTTCTAGCTCTCCCAAGATACTAGAACCCGAAGGCATCAAGCTGATGGGCAGTAGATCCAGGACAGACAAAAGGAAATACTACTTTACACAGAGATTAAAATGTGGCATTTGCTGCCAGAGGATGGCCACAGGAATAAACAGCTTTAAAAAGGGGATTAGACAGAGTAATGAAGGATAAGCCTATCAATGGTGACTGAGGGGAACCTCCACATTCAGAGGCATTAAGCCTCTGAATTCCCGAGCCAGAAGGCAACATCAGGGGAAGGCCTCGGCCTCCATGCCCTGTTGTTGGCTGTCCAGAGGAACTGGCTGGCCCCTGTGTGAGACAGGAGGCTGGACTAGATGGACTATTGATCTGATCCAGCAGGGCTCTTCTTATGTTCTTCTGTCTGAAGCAAACAGCAGGGCCCAAGGGCCATGAAATGCAGGAAGGACAGGATGAAATACAATGATGTAAAATCCTGACCTAATCAGGCAAAACACCGAGGCCATTCACTGGTTATGCTAAACTAGGGTAGTTGGCTTCCTGCTTGTGGGCTTCCTAGAAACATCTGGCTAGTTACTGCATTTGTATTTTCTCCCCACTGGGAAACGCTCTATACACTAACTGGTTGTAATGCTCACATATATTGCCTGTATGAGGAGGCATATAAGCAGCACTCTATTTATCCACCAAGGATTGTGTATGGTTACCAATGTCCAGGTGGGGCCTGGAGGTCTCCCAGAATTACAATCATAATCCAGGCTACAGTGATCACTAGCCCTGGAGAAAATGGTGGCTTTGGAGTGTGGACTGTGGCATTATGAGTCTCTGAGGCCCCCCCCCCAAGCTCCACCCCAAACCTCCAAATGGGAACCATAGTAGCTTAATTTGCAAGGTTATTTTGAGAATAATGGAGGAAAGGAAGCAGTTCTCTGTCCTGAAATTTAGGAAAACAGTGGTGGGGCCACAAATCTAAGGTTACCAGCTTCTACTTGCAAAATTCATGAATGGGGCTCGGCAGTGGAGCTGCAAGGCCAGCGGCGGCCAGGACCATTGGGAGCGGGGGGCCTTCGTGGGGCTTCCTTGCACTCCCGCACCTTTAAGACTAACAAATAGCA